TCAACAAAAAGGTAAGTGCAACACTAATACAAAACGGAACATATGCAATAAAAAACACAAAACGCAGTCATAGAAAGCAAAGACCATTCAGTGCAAGGATATACAATGCAAACAAAAAACACAAAACGCAGTCATAGAAAGCAAAGACCATTCAGTGCAAGGATATACAATGCAAACAAAAAACAACGCAATACAAACACAACACACAAAAATACAAGCAATGCACACAAACAACGCAAAATATATCCAGCGGAGGCAGACATTTGACCCAATCATGCAATCAAATTAAATCAACAAACAACGCAAACAACGGCATATTGCAGATAGATTTCCAAACTGACATACATGGCTAACATATATGCCTGAGCAACACACATACTACCCAAACATACATGCAATATAAACAAGCAAACATCCTTAAGACAACTAAACCTCACGATGCGGGAAATACATGGGGCGCCATCATTGCTACTGCGACCCCAGGCTGCAGTTTAACGTCATGCCCAGTTCGCGCTTGGGGATGCGGTCAGTTCGCGCTTGGGGATGCGGTCAGTTCGCGCTTGGGGATGCGGTCAGTTCGCGCTTGGGGATGCGATCAGTTCGCGCTTGGGGATGCGGTCAGTTCGCGCTTGGGGATACGGTCAGTTCGCGCTTGGGGATGCGGTCAGTTCGCGCTTGGGGATGCGATCAGTTCGCGCTTGGGGTTTCGGTCAGTTCGCGTTTGGGGCTACGGGGATGCGGTCAGTTCGCGCTTGGGGCTACAGGGATGCGGTCAGTTCGCGCTTGGGGCTGCGGGGATGCGGTCAGTTCGCGCTTGGGGATACGGTCAGTTCGCGCTTGGGGCTACGGGGATGCGGTCAGTTCGCGCTTGGGGATGCAGTCAGTTCGCGCTTGGGGATGCGGTCAGTTCGCGCATGGGACTGCGGGGATACAGTCAGTTCGCGCTTGGGGCTGCGGGGATGCGGTCAGTTCGCGCTTGGGGCTGCGGGGATGCGGTCAGGTCGCGCTTGGGGATTCGGGGATGCGGTCAGTTCGCGCTTGGGAATGCGGGGATGCGGTCAGTTCGCGCTTGGGGATACGGTCAGTTCGCACTTGGGGATGCGTTCAGTTCGCGCTTGGGATTGCGGGGATACGGTCAGTTCGCGCTTGGGATTGCGGGGATACGGTCAGTTCGCGCTTGGGATTGCGGGGATACGGTCAGTTCGCGCTTGGGGATGCGTTCAGTTCGCGCTTGGGATTGCGGGGATGCAGTCAGTTCGCGCTTGGGGATGCGGGGATTTTTGTCCATTTCCCCGCGAATTTAACAATATTTGGGGTTTCGGTCAGTTCGCGTTTGGGGCTACGGGGATGCGGTCAGTTCGCGCTTGGGGCTACAGGGATGCGGTCAGTTCGCGCTTGGGGCTGCGGGGATGCGGTCAGTTCGCGCTTGGGGATACGGTCAGTTCGCGCTTGGGGCTACGGGGATGCGGTCAGTTCGCGCTTGGGGATGCAGTCAGTTCGCGCTTGGGGATGCGGTCAGTTCGCGCATGGGACTGCGGGGATACAGTCAGTTCGCGCTTGGGGCTGCGGGGATGCGGTCAGTTCGCGCTTGGGGCTGCGGGGATGCGGTCAGGTCGCGCTTGGGGATTCGGGGATGCGGTCAGTTCGCGCTTGGGAATGCGGGGATGCGGTCAGTTCGCGCTTGGGGATACGGTCAGTTCGCACTTGGGGATGCGTTCAGTTCGCGCTTGGGATTGCGGGGATACGGTCAGTTCGCGCTTGGGATTGCGGGGATACGGTCAGTTCGCGCTTGGGATTGCGGGGATACGGTCAGTTCGCGCTTGGGGATGCGTTCAGTTCGCGCTTGGGATTGCGGGGATGCAGTCAGTTCGCGCTTGGGGATGCGGGGATTTTTGTCCATTTCCCCGCGAATTTAACAATATTTTCCATTAACACTATTTTCCATTAACACGATGTGGGCGGCACAGGGTCACGCATTTGACCTTGGACTCGAGGTCAAGGAGATTCCGAGAGAACTAAGGAATCCGAGTTGCAAGAGGGGGTATGTGAGTTTTCGTAAAGAGCTTGCAACTGTGAACTAGGTTTTATTTGTGCATACGTGCTTGTGTGTGTATGCGTGTACCCCCCCCCCCCCCCGTGTGTGTGTGTGTGTGTGTGTGTGTGTGTGTGTGTGTGTGTGTGTGTGTGTGTGTGTGTGTGTGTGTGTTCCTGAGCATACGCAAAATATGCATGTGAATACAAATTTACAAGAAAAAAAAATAGGTAAACATTTCATTCCATTTACCGCGACGGTGTTTGCACTATGTTGACCTGTCACGTTCGTTCAAGGAACTGAAAATATGATTATTCTCTCCCTTCTAAAATACATACTATAAAAAATGCATGTCCTTCATAACATATATTTGTACATAATATATACTAAATGCCATCTCATTTCACATTACAAATCATTTCAAACTCAATATCAAATATTTAAACGTGTATGCGAAATACACATACCGACATGGAAACAAAGAAGCAAGCACTCTGAGCGAGGCTAGCATACCATGCATATGCTTGAAATCATACTTGACACGGGATGTATGTGTTGCTAGCCTCGCTCAGGCGACCCCTGGACGCATAACATGGACATATACAAAACTATGAATGCGATCTCCCCCCCAATGTTCATGGAAAACGCGAAGCAAGCCAATAGTAAAACACATAATCATGACAAAGAAACACCAAAATACGCTTGACATTAGACACGGTGATGCGCGTAAAATGCATTATTTCGCTAGCCTCGCTCAAGTGACCCCAGAGTGCAGTTAGACACACACGCGGGCATGCACACGAAGCATATAATATTTCGTAAAATGCAGTTCTCCGTAAATCATATTTCACAGAGTACGCCACTTTTTGCAAAATGAATAATTTTCCTTTAACAGTTTTCCATTAACGGCACTATTTTTTTCACTAAATGCACAATTTCCTGTTAATTGCGTTATTATCCACCAGATGCACTAGTTTCCAAAATAAACAATTTTCCACGAATAATATTTTAATAAATTTAATAAATATTCCTACTAACTGCACTATTTTTTTTTTTTTTTTTTTTTTACAAACACTATTTTTCGTCAGGTGCACCGTTTTTCTATTTTTGGCAAAATTAAAAAAATCCCAAAATTTTTTCACCAACTTCCTAATACTCTTTCCCCCAAAGCCAAGAAGAGCGGTTAAGAAGGACCAGATCTGCGGAGGTTCATTCGCCAAGAGGTCTGGGAGAAGGGCATGTCTTATCCCTGTTCTGGCGCCATGTACTTCGGTAGGTCGATTAGGATGTTTTCATGGAGCGTGGCTATAAAATTGGCCGTGGCGTAATTGGTACTTTGACGGCGAAAGTGCTCGAGGTCAACGGCGTGCTGCAACGACGGTTTCTGTGTCAGAATATCGCTAGATTCTGAAGTCAATTCATTCTGCTCACTTACAAAAAAACGAGAATCACAATGTACAACACTTAGCGCATCTACCCCGCCTCTCCTATTTCTTTTCATTCTTTTGATGTAATTTTGTCCCATTATTGAGGTCGCTATATAAACTTTACGGCTTCCAACCCTCTCTATTTACCCGGGCTTGGGACCGGCACTGAATTAGGCTGACTTACCCTCTCAGTGGCTAGATTAACTCGGCCTCTCCTTCTCAAATATAAATACAACAATGCACATTAGACAATATATATCATAGGTCACAGTATATCGTCTTACGTATTACATTATACATTACTGTACATCACACATGATACATATATCTTATATTTCTCCTCTCTCCCTTCATATCTCACGCAGTAAACTATGGCTGTACAAGGAGCTAGTTCAACATCCCACGGCTGGTTTTTATAACACAAATATGGAGACACTGACACCGTCCACCTTCTGCTGTGTGGCCATTGAGCGTTTCATAAGGCGAGGTCCACGGCGGTGCCCGTCTCGCCTTCGGTTCCAAATGGACGTTGACTTTCTTCGGCCCTCTAGCGTCCTTACTGACAGACGGGCATGTCACACAAGAGGACATTGAGCGAAAACGCAGGTGCAACACTGATATAACACGGAACATGTATGCCATAAAAAAAACATTTACAAAACGCAATCATGCAAAGTAAATAGACCATCTAGTGTAAGGATATACAACGTAAACAAACCCCTCCTTCAGGAATACACGTAATACAAACAAATAAAACACGCAAACTTACAAGCAATGCAGGTAAATAACACAAATAATACACAGCGAAGGCAAACATCCGACCCAATCGTACAATCAAATTAAATCAACATACAACGCAAACAACTACATATTGAAGAAATATTTGCAAACTGCCATACATGACTTACATACATACCTGTGCAACAGACATACTACCCAACCATACATACAATACAAACAAACAATCCTAAGACAAATAGACCTGCTGCGGGGATACTACTACTATTATTGCTATTGCTACCACTACTACTACTACTGCTATTGCTATTGCTACCACTACTACTACTACTGCTATTGCTCGTGCTACCACTACTACTACTACTGCTATTGCTCGTGCTACCACCACTACTACTACTATTGCTGCTATTGCTACCACTACTACTACTACTGTTATTGCTCGTGCTACCACTACTACTACTACTACTGCTGCTATTGCTACCACTACTACTACTACTACTGCTATTGCCATTGCTACCACTACTACTACTACTGCTATTGCTCGTGCTACCAGTACTACTACTACTACTGCTGCTATTGCTACCACTACTACTACTACTACTGCTATTGTTCGTGCTACCAGTACTACTACTACTACTACTGCTATTGCTATTGCTACCACTACTACTACTACTGTTATTGCTCGTGCTACCACTACTACTACTACTACTGCTGCTATTGCTACCACTACTACTACTACTGCTATTGCTCGTGCTACCACCACTACTACTACTACTGCTATTGCTCGTGCTACCACTACTACTACTACTACTACTACTACTGCTATTGCTCGTGCTACCACTACTGCTACTGCTACTACTGCTATTGCTCGTGCTACCACCACCACTACTACTACTACTACTGCTATTGCTCGTGCTACCACTACTGCTACTGCTACTACTGCTATTGCTCGTGCTACCACCACTACTACTACTACTGCTATTGCTCGTGCTACCACTACTACTACTACTACTAATACTGCTATTGCTCGTGTTACCACTACTATTACTACTACTACTGCTATTGCTCGTGCTACCACCACTACTACTACTACTGCTATTGCTCGTGCTACCACTACTACTACTACTGCTATTGCTCGTGCTACCACCACTACTACTACTACTACTACTGCTATTGTTCGTGTTACCACTACTATTACTACTGCTATTGCTAGTGCTACCACTACTACTACTACTACTACTGCTATTGCTCGTGCTACCACTACTACTACTACTACTGCTATTGCTCGTGCTACTACTACTACTACTGCTATTGCTCGTGCTACTACTACTACTACTGCTATTGCTCGTGCTACCACCACTACTACTACTACTACTGCTATTGCTCGTGCTACCACTACTACTACTACTACTACTGCTATTGCTCGTGCTACTACTACTGCTATTGCTCGTGCTACCACCATTACTACTACTACTGCTATTGCTAGTGCTACCACTACTATTACTACTACTACTGCTATTGCTCGTGCTACCACTACTACTCACTACTACTACTGCTATTGCTAGTGCTACCACTACTATTACTACTACTACTGCTATTGTTCGTGTTACCACTACTATTACTACTACTACTGCTATTGCTCGTGCTACCACCACTACTACTACTACTACTGCTATTGCTCGTGCTACCACCACTACTACTACTACTACTGCTATTGCTAGTGCTACCACTACTATTACTACTACTACTGCTATTGCTCGTGCTACCACTACTACTCACTACTACTACTGCTATTGCTAGTGCTACCACTACTATTACTACTACTACTGCTATTGCTCGTGCTACCACTACTACTACTACTACTACTGCTATTGCTCGTGCTACCACTACTACTACTACTACTACTGCTATTGCTCGTGCTACCACTATTACTACTACTACTACTGCTATTGCTAGTGCTACCACTACTATTACTACTACTACTACTACTACTGCTATTGCTCGTGCTACCACTACTACTATTACTGCTATTGCACTACTGTTATCACTACTGCTATGGCTACTAATATTGCTACTATCACTACGGTGGAAGGACACTACGAACGATAAAAGCAGCAATGTTAGACCTTCAAAAGGAGTATTACTGTCTTATCTTAAGGGGAGTCAACGGGATCCCTAATTTCAATGTTCACCTGGTCCCTAAGCCTCTCCTGCCTCACGGGAGATTTGAATTCGGGCTCCTCTGTACGGATGGTACGTGGCCTTGAGCTAGGAGTATACCTTACACTACCCAAACAGACATGCAGTCCCAACAAACAAACAACCTTCAGACAAATAAACCTCACGATGCGGGGGATACATGGGGCGCCGTCATTGCTACTGCGACCCCAGGCTGCAGTTTAACGTCATGCCCAGGACGAGCGCGGGCACGGTGGTCGCCAGGAAGGTCCATTAGCCCGTGAGAGCGATTACTTAACATTTCCCAGGTGCGCTTTCCCATCTTTCTTTTTGCACAGTGTTCCTCTAATGACGTGTTTCCATATTATACTCTTTTTCCATAAAGCTACTTTTCACACACTAGGTGATACCTTACACAGTTTAACATGTCAAGGACGCCCTTGTATACAAACAATCATATATAGAACAAATACATTTAAACAAAAAAATATATACACTATTTTCCTTTGCCATTATTTTCCATAATCACTATTTTCCATTAACACAATTTTCTATAAGCACTTTTCCATTAACACTATTTCCATTAACACTGTTTTCCATAATCACTATTTTCCATTAACACTATTTTCTATAAGCACTTTTCCATTAACACTATTTCCATGAACGCTATTTTCCATTAGCACAATTTTCTCTTAACACTAATTTCTACTAACACTGTTTTCTATAAGCACTATTTTCCATTAACACCATTTTCCATAAGCACTATTTCGATTAAAACTATTTCTTCATAAGCACTGTTTTTTCCCATTTTTCCATTAACATATTTTTCGATAAGCACTACTCTCCATAAGAACTATATTCCATAAGCACTGTTTTTCCATTAGGGCGATTTTCCACATTTTCACGTCTCCGGTTCCGAATGGACGTTGACTTTGTGCTTTCTTCTGTCCTCTAGCATCCTTGCTGACAGACGGACATGTCACACAAGAAGACGTTTAGCGAATAACAAATATGCAATACAAAACATACACAAAACACAAAGAGAACATGCAGAGCAACTATATACAACACAAACATGCATGCAATGCAAGCAACGGTACTCATACAGTACGAATAGTAACACAACGAAATATGCAGTACAAACAGACATACAACGTAAAACATACATGAAATACAAGCAGACCACAGTGCAAGGTTACACGCATTACAAAAGACGCAAATATATAAGCAATGCAAACAGACAAACAACGCAAATTATATGCATTTCAAGCACACATCCAACCTAACCATACACAATGCGCAAAACATACATACAACGTAATCATAAAAGCAATGCAAACAAACATAATAGGCAAACATACAGGCAAACAATGCAAACTACATGCAGCGCAAGCAGACTTCCAACCCATTCATACAGTCAGTGAAAAAAGACACACATCAATTATTATATATGTACTATTTACCATACAATGCACTGTTCTCAGTTTGTACTAATTTTTGCTAAATAAAGATATTTCCTATTTTTCACAAACTACACTTGTTTTCACATGCAGTACTTTCCATAAGCACTATTTTCCATTAACACTGTTTTCTATAAGAACTATTTTCCACCAACACTATTTCCATTAACAATATTTTCCATAAGCACATCTTCCATAAGCGCTGTTTTTCCATAAGCGATATTAGGTGGAAGGCAACGGGAAACCACCTTGGTACACTCCCTTGTACAACCATGAAATTAATGGTCGCCAACGTCAGGCTCAGACATGGCACAAAAAATATATGCGTATGTTCATTCATTGACATTTTGCCGCCATTAACACTATTTTCCATAAGCACTATCTTCCATTAACACAACTTTCTATAAGTACTTTTCCATTAACACGTCATTAACGTCATGCCCAGGACGAGCGCGGGCACAGTGGGCGCCAGGAAGGTCCATTAGCCCGTGAGAGCGATCACATAACATTTTCCAGATGCATTTTCTCATCTTTCTTTTTGCACATCGAATCTGATACCGTCCGTCTTCTGCCGTGTGGCCAGTGAGCGTTTCCTAAGGCGAGGTCCACGGCGGTGCCCGTCTCGTCGCTGGTTCCGAATGGACGTTGACTTTGTGCTTTCTTTTGCCTTCTAGCATCCTTGCTGACAGACGGACATGTCACACAAGAGGACGTTAAGCGAAAGTGCAAATGTAATTGATATAACAAATATGCAATACAAACCATACACAAAACACAAAGAGAACATGCAGAACAAGTATATACAACACAAACTTACATGCAATACAAGCAAATAAAGCAAGCAACGGTATGCATAAAGTACAAATAGTAACACAACGAAATATGCAGTACAAAGACATACAACGCAAAACATACATGAAATACAAGCAGACCCACAGTGCAAACATACACGCATTACAAGACGCAAATATATAAGCAATGCAAACATAGAAACGACGCAAAATATATGCATTTCAAGTACACATCCAACCTAATCATACACAATGCGCAAAACATATATACAACGTAATCATACAAACAATGCAAACAGACATAATAGGCAAACATACAGACAAACAATGTAAAATACATTCAGCGCAAGCAGACTTCCACCCCATGCATACAATTAGTGAAAAGAGACACAAAGCAATTATTATATATGTACGATTTACCATACAATGCACTGTTCGCTGTACTATTTTATTGTAAATAATAGTTAGAACTATTTACCACTAACTACACTTCTTTTCACATGAAAAAAATTCTATTAACACTATTTTCTATAAGAACTATTTTCCGTCAACACTACTTTCCATAAGCACTTTTTTCCACAAGAACTATTTTCAATAAGCACTGTTTACCCATAAGCACTGTTTTCCATAAGCGCTATTTTCCACTAACACTATTTTCCGGTAAATAAACTATTACATAACAGTACTCACATACTGTTAAAAAAACATGGTCCCCAACGTCAGGCTCTGATACGGCACAAAAAAAAAACTCACATACATCGACAAAAGGAATTATTCGTGTAATAATTTTCCTTCAACACTATTTTCCATTAACACTGTTTTCTATATGAACTATTTTCCATAGGCACTGTTTACCCATAAGCACTGTTTTTCCATAAGCGATATTTTCCACTAACACTATTTTCCATAAATACTATTTTCCGACAAATACACTATTTATATAACAGTACTTTCATGCATCGACTTCCGTAAGCGTCGCTGAACACCTCCACTCGGCCGACGCTCAGAAGCTCTCTTATTACGAAGAGTTCATCGTGTGCAACGGGCAT